GCAGAAGGAAATACTTCCTTCCTGTGAATTTATCATTTCTTCTTCTTATCCTTATCACTGATAGTATTTATTTAAATTTATTGTTATTTTAAATGACTTCTCTGTTTTCCTTAGAGATTATAAGCCCTTGGAGGCTCTGAATGGTGTCTTATTTATTGTAATATCCCTTGTACCTCCCATACTGTCTTTTTTTTTTTTTTTTTTTTTGAGAGGGAGTCTCGCTCTGTCGCCCAGGCTGGAGTGCAGTGGCCGGATCTCAGCTCACTGCAAGCTCCGCCTCCCGGGTTCACGCCATTCTCCTGCCTCAGCCTCCCGAGTAGCTGGGACTACAGGCGCCCACCACCTCGCCCGGCTATTTTTTTGTATTTTTTTAGTAGAGACGGGGTTTCACCGTGTTAGCCAGGATGCCCATACTGTCTTGTATGTAATAAACACTTATGGAATATCTGCTGAATAGAAACTTTAGCTGAGTCTTTCTTAAATAAACTTTCATGTGATCTGTAGAAAAGTAAACTTTTTACCATAACTCCAAAATGCTACAAATTACTTTTATGCTAAAATTTGTTGAGAAAAATAAAAGAGAAAAATACAACACTTCCCCATAAAGTTATATAATGGAAGAACAAAAATCAATTTTTTAAAATCAGAGGAATGAAAGATTTTTTACAATGAGAAAAACAAGGAAATGGTTTTGTTATTGATGGTAATTAGAAATATGCTATTATGTGGATCAAATTATATTATTAAAAGTTGAATTGATTAAAATACTCAATTTGGCTTCACAATGTAAAATGACTGGTGTTTCGTTTTCTAATTGCTTTGCCAGGTTTTATAGTCTGAGTTGATTGTACAAAATAATGTTAGGATTTCACATAGGAAATGTGAAGGTAGAATTAAAGACTCTGAATCTAGATGAACAACAGATGTAATGAATACACCTAATCAGAACACATAAAGCAACATCACACGGTAAATAACACACAAAAAACCAGATGATATAATGTTAAGTGAAAAAAGCAGAAAGTGAAAATACGTATTTACTCAGACTTTTAGAAATGGCAGAGTTATTTAACCAGAATAACCTTCACACAGATAACTATTATATATGAACAAGATATATTTACACCTCTCTTATCCTCTAACCACCCATTTGAAAGTACTGGAGACCAACAAAACACTCAGATACCAGAGATTCTACCTTTGAAAGCCAGGAACTGCAACAGTGAGATTTGTGAGTATACACCTTTTTGCCTGAGGGTACGTCCTGTAGGGACCAAGAGCTTGGTCCTCTGAAAGTTCACTGAAAAATCAACTTGGCAAAGGCAGATTAATTGGAGAAAAGGCATACAAATTTATTTAATGTGTAAACACGGGAGCCTTCACAATGAAGACCCAAAGATACAGAGGAAATTGTCCGTTTTAATGCTTAGGTTCCACAAACTATAAACAGCCATGTAGAAATATGGTTGGACAAAAATATAATAGTAATAGATTGAGTGGGGAAGCCCAGCATGGCCTGTCTGTCTGGATTCTTGGCCTCTCCGAGCAGTATTCCTTCCTTCTGGGTGTGGGCCAGGACCCTCTTTGGAATGGGGGGTCTTATGACCTACAGGCAAACAAGGTAGGTCAGAGAATTTCTTTATGGCTAGTTCTGACACAGAATTATTTTTAGGTGTTATGGTTGGCTTTGGGGTAAAGAGGTTCTTCTGGTTTCTATGACCTGTCTTGGGGAATAGGATTTCTAGTTTCTATGGCTAGCTTCTGGGAAGATTGGGAATGAGAGACACAAGAGCAGGAGGGGTCAAATAAAAACTTTTGCCTGTGCGTCTGCTTCTGAGGCCTTCATTTTGGAGTGTTGTTTTCTGAGCTCCCACAGTACCAATCTGCACGGGCTCTGGGTAACAGAAAGTTGCAGTTTTACTGGCTTGAGGTAAAAGAGGAGTGAGTTCTAGGCTGGCAGAGAAGCTGGAGGGATTGAGGGGGAAATTCCTGGAAGGAAGGAAGCTGCGGAGGGAGGGAACCTCAACATTTGTGTGTACATTCCACCCAAACCTCCACTTAACCACTATATATGCCCAAGAGACTCCAGTGTCCTAGTGAAAATCAGCAGCTGGAATATGAAAGAATTGGGCAGAAATTTTACCTGCTGCCCACTACAAGAGAGATAGAGTTCGGATTGCAAGACTAGCCAAGTTAACTACCTGCTAGGACAAAAATCAGCACTCTTCAGAAGAATATAGATTCCAGAGTCTCTATAGTATAGCTTTTGAAAAGTCTAGAATATGATAAAAAACTAGGTATGCAAACTTATGGGAAAATGTGATCTGTAGGAGAAAATGCAATTATTAAGATCTAGTCCCCCGATGATTCAGATGCTATAATTAAAACATAAATATTTAAAAGCTGCTATTATAAATACATTAAAAAAAACTTAAAGGAAAAATAAATTAACAGAAAATGTTGGCAGAGAACAAGAAACTAAGAGCCAAAAATTATAGCAATGAAAAATACATTAATTAAAATTAAAAATTCAGTAGTTGAGATTAAAAGTTGAGTAGAGATGGCAGAAAACAACAGTCAGTAAACTTGAGGGTGGAGCAATACAAGTTATTAATCTGAAGAGTAGAGAAAAAGAAGAAAAGAATGAAGGAAAATGAATAGTGTCCAGAGGCAAATGGGACAATATCAAGAGGTCTCATGTATGTGTAAATTGATCTCCCAAAGGTGAGGGGATAGAATAGGGAAGGATAAAACATCCTGAAACATAATGGTTGAAAATTTATAAAGAACAAACTTACAGATCCAAGAAACAACAAACTCCAAAGAGAATTATTATAAGGAACACCACACCTGGGCACATCATAGGCAAAATCATAAATCTGAAAGAGAAAATCTTGAAACCAGCCAGAGAAAGACAATATATTATAAACAAGGAAATAACAGTAAGCATTCTCATTCCACTGCCCACTCCTCTGAAATCATTGAGGCTGGCTGACAATGGAACAACATTTTTAGACCACTGAAAGAAGAAAAAAAGTCAGCCAAAAATTCTAAAACAAGAAAAACTATCCATCAAAAATGAAGATGAAACAAAGATCTTTGAAGATAAACAAAAACCGAGAGACTTTGTTGCCACAAGACTGTAATATAGAAATACTAAAGGAAATTCTTTAGATGGAAGACAAATGACACAATTGTAACTTGTATGTACAGGAACAGATAAAGAGCATTAAAAATGATAAATATTTGAGTAAATACAAAAGGCTACATATATTTTTCTATTTTCTCTTAATCTATCTCTTCTAGAAAACATTTAAATAGAGACAGGATCTTGCTGTGTTGCCCAGGCTGGACTTGAACTGCTGGGTTCAAGCAGTTCTCCTACCTCAGCCTGCAAGTAGCTGGGACTACAGGCATGCACCACTGTGCCTGGCTCTCTTAATTTCTTTAAAAGACATTATTAAAAGCAAAAATTACAATACTGTTTTCTGTATTAGTGGTCTTTAATAACAATAATAGCACAAAGAATGAGAGAGTAAACAGAGCTATTTGGTTGTAAGATTCTCATATTTTAAATGAAATGGTATAATATTGACTCTAAATATATTGTGACAAGTTAAAGATGCATATCTCTAGATCAACCACCAGGAATAGAGGTATAGCTAAAAAGCCAATAGAATAATTTAAAAAATAAAATAAAATATTAAAAATATTTAACCCCAAAGAGGTCAGAATACGAGGAACAGAGGAACAGAAATGACAAGAATAGTCCAGGCATGGTGACTTACACCTGTAGTCCCAGCACTTTGGGAGGCGGAGACAGGAGGATTGCTTGAACCCAGGAGTTTGAGACCAGCTTGGGCAACATGGTGAAATCCCATCACTACAAAAACATGCAAAAATTAGCCACGTGTGGGGATGCACAACTCCCAGCTACTTGGAAGGCTAAGGTGGGAGAATTGCTTGGGCCCAGAAAGCAGAGGTTGTGGTTAGCCAAGATCACACCACTGCATTCCAGCCTGAATGACAGAGTAAGACCCTGTCTCAAAAATAAAACAAAAAACAAACAAACAGAAAACTGAAAAAAAACCCTAGAAATCACAAGAATAGATGAGAAAAATGGAAAACACAGCAAAATGAGGTAGATCTAAATCCAAAGATACGATTATACCAAATATATTTGGTTTTAGGTATACCACTGAATGTCATTATTATGCTGAATATTGTAAGAAGCAGAGATTATCAGACTATTTAAAGTAAGACCCAATTGTATGCTGCCTGCAACAGAAACAGTTTTTTGCTTTTTTTTTAAAAAAGGACCAAACAATTTGCAAGAAAAGGATGTAAAAAGTATATACCAGGCAAACAATAAGCACAAAATGTATAATAGACTAAAATTGTGTCAGAAGTAGTGTTGAATGAAACATTATACAGCAATGAAAATCAATAAATAACTATGCACAACAATAAGGCTGCTCCTCACAAATAATACTGAATGAAAACCCAGTCACATATAAAAAAAGGCAATTGAATAATTTCATTTATATTAAATTCAAAAAAGCAAAACTAATCTATGGTGTTTGTTGTCAGGGTGGTGGCTTTCTTTGGGGAAGATTGGGCAGTAGGTGCTGGATGAGTATACTAGGGAACCTTCAAAGTGCTGAATAATGTTCTTATTTCTTGATGTGGGGACTGTTTACATCAGTGTGCTTACTTTGTTATTAATTGAACTGGACACTTAAGATTTGTGTACTTTATGCATGTTTTACTTCAGTAAGAATGTTTGTTTTAAAAGATGGGCTGAATTAGGCTATGTAAAATCTAGAGAAATACCACACAATTAATGAATTGTCTCAGCAATAACATCATAGTGCAAAGAAAGTATACTTTGAGGGAAATATGTAAAAGAAATGCTCATCTATAAAGATTTTAAGTTTTTGAAAACCTCCATAGTTTGGAGCTATGGATAGTGAATCGTAATTAATGATAACTCTTTAGAATACTTTGTAAATGCTTTTGAAGTTTATTTAAAAAATAAGCGTAGCACCATAAATGAGATACCCACATCACTTAAAATATCTTGAATCTGCAATAATGTTTTTATCACCATTCTCATGCTTCAAGGTCTGCTTCCTTCTACATTCTTTTACAAAATAATTTTAAATTTGTTTTGCTATATTGCAGATAATTTCTGTGCTTAACGCCTTTGTGATAGGACTCAGAACTGAGCTGTTGACTCCAACTTCTAGGGTTGTGTTTCTGGTGTCAGACATCTGTTGTTATTTGGATGTTTGAGGTGGAAAAATATTGGGCAATCATTATTTAATTAACTCGGCGTCGTTGGGCTGGTATTTTTCAAACCTCCTCTTCAACATATGAGAATATCTGATATTTGGCTTGATGATATCTTGCCAAAACTCCTGCTTTTAGCTCCTTCTTCACCCTCAGTTCCATTGAGCCAACAAATACAGGAGCACAATTCAAACTTTGGAGTTTATTTTCTTCCAGCTTTAGCTATCTTAAAACTTCATTGCTAAATCCTCTATTAATTCTTAGCCAGTTTCTTTACTTTTCCTTCTGAATTCCAAGTTCTTCTTTTTCTGATATTCCCATTAGGAATGGCTTCAGTTTGAGCATATATTGAAATTCCTATGGTTTCTACACTGAAACAAATCCAGATTTATTAGAATTCCACATAAGGGTTATTTGTGGTAGGCAGTAGTACCATGTCCCACATTAACGATGACATCATTGGCATTTCTAGCTTTTAGAATTCTAGGTATTGTTTTCTACTTCATTTTACTTTTAATTATTTCCAATTTCCTATGCCAATTACCTTTATAATCAGAAAAACCTCCTGAAATATAACAATCAGTTATGGTGTCTTGGACCTGGCTCTTATTGGTTCAGGAGAGCAGACGATGTACATCTTTTCCCAACTTCCTGTTCGGTGACCTCATGTTGGTATTATGACGTCAGCAAATGTGGGAACATTTACACCATGGAAACTGGCAACACTAAAATTCAGGGTTTTGATTTTAGAGAATGTTCTTACCAGCACTCTACAGGCAAGCAGTATCTCTACATAAGCTGAAAAAGTTGTCAGTTGATTCTATAAACAGCAACTATAAACACATAAATACAGGAGGTGGGGCATGGCTGCCTTCATACATCACTAATTTTGGCAAAACCCAGCCTTTGAGAGCTTGGTGAATGGCTTACGGAAAATGAAAACATTAAATTGCTGACTGGGCAGAAGTGACTTCCGGGATGGGAAGAACAATTGTAGCTCTCAGTCCTTTGGCTTGCAGTAAACAAGGTCACAGAGGGCCTGAGAATTATTTCATTCCTTACATAGGAAGACATCTTATTAGCCTTACTGAGGGCTAGGCAAGAAATGATAAGTTTATGTTTTAGCTGCATTTGAAATTTGGGTGACATATAAGTGTTGTGAATCACTGGAATGTGTGACAAAGTTAGTCACCTAAAGTCTCCTTCTTTGGTGACTTTTCAGAGACCAGAATTTTTTTTTGGAGGGGGGGGGGGTTTGGGGGTGGGGAATTGGTTTTATTTTTCCTGAAGGCAGAAGGAAAATGATGTGGTATTTTCATAATTTCTTTTAAATTTCTTGTAAGAATTACATTCACCTAAAAATAGTGGGGGAAGTGTTATTTTCAATCAGAGTTACTGGGTCTTACTATAGTGCTTTTCTCACCATGATAGTGTCAGGGAATGAGACTACTGCTGAGGATGCATTATTACTACTCACAGCAATATTTAAAGACACAAAAATAGAAATGTTGATATTCTGTTTTACTGCACAAATCAAAGCAATTGGAAAGTAGGCCAGTTTTAAATTTTTTAAATGCAAAAGACTTCTAACCAATACCAAGCAAGAAATGTGCTAGAAACGAATTGGAATATTGTGCTCAAAAGTGATTTTAGTTGGGGTTCAATTGGGCTCAATTAAACAGACATTTGTGATGCTGTCTGTTTAATGTGATGGCCACTGCTTTGGAAATTAGATAATATTACGAAGACACACAGTGTTGGCTCTCATGTTGACTTCAAAGTGGTCAAAGCATAGTTGGAAGGGCTGTCACATAAACAGAGAAACCATCATTGTTAGACCCACCCACATCCCAACAACATTAGATCCATGTGATTTTATAAAGTATGCCTGGTTGCCTAAGCTCTCAGAACCCTAAAACAGCCCCTTGCCTGGTTGTCTGCTGTAGTCATGTGATAATTAATACACTGAAAACTATTTTTACATGACAAAATAGCCAGTCGATTGAGGAAAAACAATCCAGTTATATCATACAGTAAAAAGAAAAATTACTTAAATTGGTTGTTTTGTAAAATTCAAAGAGAACAATGAATTATTTTAATAAAATGTTTGTTAGAGTTCGTTACAGTGTTTGCATAATTGCTTTTCTGATTTTGTACTGGCTGTTTGAGGTAATGAATAGAATGAACCTCAGAGTCCTGAAAATACTGCCACTGTAAAACTAGGAAAAAGGAGACAGCAAAATAGACATGCCATCCTGTGCAGGTAAAAGAAAATAGTGCCTTATGGGTGTGATGAGTACAACTAATTTGAAATTATCTAGACAGGAGGAGTCATGGCTAGGCTTTGCTTCCACATTATTTTAGTTCTAGGAAGGTGAGACTATATCATTGAGGACATTATTGGCATAATGAGAAGAATTCCACTTCTGTACACCTAAATTGTTATCTGGAAGAAAATACTAGTTTAGAAAATATGAATTTATTTGTTGACATATTTATGAAAAAGGCCATTTAGTTGTTTTCTTCAGATAGGTTGTTATATTCAAAATATTCTTTTCAAATTCTATTGCGTTTTATGTGATCAGTATAGTAATTAATAGAACCTTAGTCTCTTAAGTAGGTAGCAGAGTAAAGAAACCATTTAAAAAAGGAACCAGAGACACAAAAAGAGAAACAATTTTCAAAAGAAAGCAAAATATCATCTAAAAAGTAAATTGTGATCTGTCATGATCAGATTCTTCAATGGCCTGCATTGTGAGGTTCTTTAATGTCCAAGAACTTTTCCTTCTGATGGCTTCCTGATCTATACAGAAGCCACCTGAGATGGACAATTTTAAGAGATGATAAGGTTCTCTGCAATAAGCCAGTTTCGTTCCTTTTGAAAAATGGTATATGAATAAACCAGATCAATAGAGACCCTCACATCTCACTTGAGATACTACTTCTACTTCGCTGCTTTTCTTCTACCCTGGTACCTTTAAGTAAAGTGGGTGGGAAAAACCACCCCCTAAAAGTTTCAGGCTTTCTCTCCCAGTTCTTTCTGATCTATTCTCGATTGTAAAAGTTAATAAGGAGCAAAATGAACAAAAATTGGGTCCCAAAAACGAAGGCAAGAGCCAGAACAATCAACAAATCTATGAGTCTTACCCTAAAAATGAGAGACTTGTCTTCAACAATTGAGGGAATAAACAAAGTCTTAAGCCAGTAGCAGTGCAGTTCGCCCCATGGCAGAACATCAGCAATGCCTAGGTCTAAAACGAAATGACCTACTCATGATAACAAAGTGTTTTTGATACAATACCCATGAATGCTTTAGGGGTAGAATAGCATTTCAAATTGAAGAAGGTATCAGTTTCAATATCTCTTTCAGAAAGCCTTTTGGTGGCATATTGTGTAGGTGTGCTGTGGATGTAAAGATATAAATTAAGTTCCTTCTGAGTTCAATTAATTAGTTTTATAGGGAGAACTTAGAGTTATTGAAAAAGAAGGCCTTGGGTTTTTTTTTTTTTTTTTTTTGGTGTTCGGTGCAGGTGATATTTATTAACAAGTAGTCTGTGTATAAAGAATATGTTTGTATGCATGCAAAGTGGTATTTTATTGAAGAATGCAAGGTAGGTTGTCATGGAGATTAAAAGCCTTGAAGTGCTATTCACTGGTGTTAGTTATGGTTGCTGGGCACTAGGATATTAGGTTCTGGCACTCTGAATGTTTCATTGTTGTAATAATAATTACACTTTTATCTTCACTGTAAGGGCTATTCAAGTAGGATAAATAAATACAGACACACGAACAAATCTAACTAAAAGGTAAATATAGCAACCCTATGACCCATCCCAGTGCAAAATTATGTAGCTGTGGTTACTACATCATCAAAATGCTTGATTTTCATTGCAGGGTCACTGAAGCTGTTTATAAGATGAATTTACAAAATGCACAAAATCTACACCTACCTTAAAAAGCAGCAGAAGAATGAAAGCTATTGACCGTTAGTGTAGTCACTGGTAAATATAAAGGTTTCCTTTAGAAACAGAGGAAACAAATGAAAAGCTTGTAACATGTTTTGCTAGCATTTTCTTGAAATACTGTATTTATATGAGATTTCAAACCTGACTTTGAGCTCTATGTAAAGCATAAAGCGATTTCTTTTCTGGTGTTCTTGTCTCTTCCATGGTTAGACAAAATGATCTTGACAAGTTTACCTTAGTGAGAAACTATGTATTTTCTATATAAGGAGAATACTTATGCTTGGCAGAATCAGTATGGATATTTTCTCAACCAATAAATTAATAGAAAGAGTTGCAATATAGAAAACTATACAACATACACAATATAACATTGAAATTTGCAGCAGCAAGTAATGTGGTTTTCAAAACTGCCTTAAGTGATGATTAACTAGAATTATATATATTTATATTTAAACTGACACCACAGAATTCTTTGAAGTCTTGACAGATATGTGGAATATTTAAATGTAGTAATTGCAGTTGCTAAACCTCCTGGGATTAACCTGCTGGAGAGATAGTGACATCTTACACAGAGAAAAATGCTTTGTACTGTGGGGGAGAAGCTGAAAGTGAAGCAATTCCATGTGTGTCTTATATTCTTATATAACTCTTTGGAAAAGAAGTTTATTGTAACTAATGAATTGGTAACATTCTGTAATAATCCACCATGTGAACAATTATATAATTTGTATAAATGTAGGCATATAATTTAGTTTTTTCAACACTGATTTTGGGTTTCATAATATAGCACAGTTCACAAAAAGTAAAACAGACTGAGAAATAGATCAGCACTGGATTAATGTAAATGGTAGGAATCTTGGATTTTTGTTTGAAGGTAGGTTCCACATTACTTCATCTTCTAGAAATGGGGACTGTTGTAATGGTACTTCTCATTTTAGGAAATATTTGTTAAATGCCTTTATGCTTCAAGCACATTTTGTTGAATTTAATTGTAGTCCAGGGGTAAAAACATTAACAAAGAGAGAGGGTGGTGATATATTCTTATCAAATAAAGTTATTTTAAAATAAGGTCACATTGTTACCATATTATCTGTAGATAGAAGACGGATTATAGGGATTGTCTGTTGCCCCCGATGTTCAGAACTTCTGATGAAGTTCTTTGAGTTGCATCTATATAACATAATTGAATAGCCATAACTTGAGCTTCAGAATCAATTTTAACGAACTTGGCAAGATAGAATCTCTGTGCATAAGAGTGAAGGGAGAAGATATCGGCGAGTCTCTGGGTATACACTTTCCAAGTTTAGACTTCTCTGGGCTTCTAAATAACAAACTGTATCTTCAAAGTACCTGAGATAGTGGGATAATCTGTTTTCGCAGTGGGGTAAATTGAGGTAGATATTTAGTAGAAATGTGCATTGTATAATAGTTGTACACCGGGGAGAGAAGATATTGAACTGAGAAACACACATTTTAATTACAACTGTGCTACTAGACAATTGAGTGATTTAAAATCATTTGTTCATTCCACTGGGGGAACAATGGTGACCCACCACACAATGGGAATTTCTTTAGCATGGCTGCTATTACTGCCAGTAGAGAAAAGGAGTAATTCTTCACTTAACAACTTAAGACTTGGCTTTCCATACCACCCTGTTCCCAGACTCCCTACACTGTAGTGGCTTCCTTTCC